TGTGTGTGTGTGTGTGTGTGTGTGTGTGTGTGTAAATATAACCCAGTGATTCGTGTTGTTCATCCTCTGACTGTTTTTACTAACAGGTGTTTAGTTTAAACACGTTCAGCTCCAAAGTATTGACATAAAATACTTTTCCTTCCAAGCAGTACTTGAATACTGTGCCTGAGTAAAAGTACTTACATCGTCTTCCTTCGTCGTGTCCGTCAGACGCTGACCCGGTGGACTGTCCCGACTCGGTGCAGAGGTTCCAGGACGCGCTCCACGATGCGCTGCAGGAGTACGAGTCGTCCCGCAGAGAGCGCCACCGAGCGGGGCGGCTGCTCATGAGCCTCCCGCTGCTGCGACAGGCCGCAGACCGGGCGGTGCGGGCCTTCCTGCGGCTGCACCGCCACCGCCGCGTCCCGCTGCACAAGCTGCTGCTGGAGATGCTCGACGCCAAGGCCTGAGGCTCATCGGCACGTGACAGGAAACGATCCTCAGACACTGATCAAAGCCTCCTGGTGATCACGTTCAGCCTTTCATCTGTTCAGAGAAGAGCTGAGGACATTAACGTTTCCACTGAAGCTGAATTCAATCTGAAACTCAACTGATGGAAAGTCCCCACGTGGTCTGCAGAGAGGGGGCCACAGCCCCGAGTCTTCATCACCACCACCACCATCATCATCATCATCGTTCTTGTTGACTCGGACAAACAGAGAATTTATTTGAAGCCGTTTTAGATTTTACACGTCATGTTTTCTCATTTCGGAGACGTCATGTCGTCCATGTTTATTTGTCACATCTGTTCACAGCTGGATCCCTCAGCTCTGTCATCGTCTGACCCTGGACACGTCTCATGGATACTTCTCTGTGAACTTGTTCTCGGGTTCGAGTGTGTGGTCGTTAACTTTGAAAGGAGGGAACTTATTTTGTTGTTTGTCCAGAAACGATCGATCGTCGGCAGCTGAGGAGTTTGATGAGCTGTTTGTACGGAGGCTTGAATAAAACACGATTCTCGTCTTCATGAGTGTGATTTTATTTTTTATACAAACTGTTGAGACCTGAGATCAGCTGGAACAACACGTGACTGATGAGAATAAATACTGACTCTGTTCAGTCACCACAGAAAACACTTCAGACAGAAGGATGGTGCATTTGTGTGTCGCAGGAAACCTGGAAATCCTACTGAGAAAAAAATCTAATTTTAATCACAAGAAGAAATTGTTCTTTTCAGTTTAACGTTGGGACGTAACCAACAATCAGATTCATCATCTATTGAATATCAGATATCTCTAAACAATATATGGTGAACAACTCATTTACAGTTTCTATTCATTTTCTGTTAAACGTCACTAAACTATGGAGCCGTGGTGATGAACTGATCCATTAATCAATGGACCGAATTCATCAAAACCTGTTTTCATAACTGACTTAACTCAGAGTTTTAGTATTTCCTGTCAATTGTTATAAAGTGGTAAAATAAAACAAACCTTTTAGCATTTGTCAATTCTTCATGTTAAGAAACAAAATATCAACATTAGTGGAAAATGAAAGACTGTGACACATGTTCACGTTTGACTCCGTGAAGAAAAGAACAGAGCATGAAGATGTTTTCTTTCATCACGGTTTGATAATTACATTTTATATTTTACTGAACCAAACATACAAATTAGAAAAATAAAGCTTCAATAAAAAACTGGTTTTAACAGACTCAGAGTCAGATCAGTCCGAGGAGGAAGAGATAAAAAGCTACAAAAACACAGATGAGGCTGCAGTAACTTGTTTACGCCACCTGGGGGCAGTGGCTCCATGTTTGGTCTCCACCTGATGAAGAATTCAACACCGGAATCCAGTGAATCACTGATTTCAGCTTCTCGGTCGCTGTGGCTGAAACGTTTAAAAAACAAAGAGGAAGAAACGATTTGTTAAACGTCGCTGGAACGTGACTCGAGTTTATCTGTCGTCTCCGACGGACAGAGTCGGACTCGAGAAGCGAGACAAGAACGTTGGAGGTCAGCTGGAAATCTTTGAAATTTTTGTCAGAGAACAAATTCTTCTCATTCTTTTTTTCAGGGTCCATTTGTCCAATCGGGACAAATTAATAATGATATTTATTTATTTTGAGCTTCTTGTGGTTCTGTGTGTCCCCTTGGCAACCGGTTGCTAGGTTACGAACTGTCGACGAGCCCTTTGACATTCTGATCATGTGAAAATGTATTTTTCATTTTGTAGCTGATTTGCTCTTTAGCGTCTGAGTCTCAGTCAGATCAACCGATCAGAAGCTGGTCTCGTTCATGTGTGGTTTGGGGCTGGTGGGGGGGGCAGCGGAGGGGCCGGTGGGGGGTGCGGCAGGGGGTCCGGCGGGGGGGCCAGTGGAGGGGTTGTCCGGACTTGTGGGGCTCTCTGGTGATGCTTGGATGTCAGCGGGAGACGGTGCAACGCTGCGGCGAGGAGAGACCTGGGTCTGAGACCGGGTTGGGCTTACTGCACAGGGGGTGGGGCTTGTTGAGGAAGTGGGCGTGACCTTGCGATGTGATGAAGAAGAGGATAATGGAGATGGTGACAGCGATGACAAGGATCCGGGGGAATGGCGAGCACCGGGCGACACAGAGAAGGTGGTGGGGGTCCTGAGGCCGAATCTGGCCTCTAACTCGGTGCACACTGCTAAGCTCCGCCTGATGCCCTCCGACCCCGACAGGACCCCAAACCCTGAGCTGGCAGCTGCCTCCGAACCCTTGGCGAGCTCCTGGCAGCGCTCCACGAAGCTGCCCCTGCGGACAGACCCCCCCTCTCTGTCCCCGTCTGGGTGTCTGTGTGGGCGGGGGCTGCCAGTGGAGTTGTGGCTGTAGGTGTGGCCGGGGACTGCGAGGGTCGGTCCAGCTCCGGCTGAGAGGACGGCGTCTCGTAGAGGTTTGGCTAACGGCACTGAGGACGGAACCTGACGGGGGAGGCTGCCGTGCAGAGAGGCAGATGAACCCGGAGCTCCGGCTCCTCGTCCTCCTGCAGACTGGAGCCGCTCCATCCTGAAGCCATCAGTGAACTGAGAGTGAAGACTGGAAGACAGGAAGTGAGGACAGGAAGTGAGGACAGGAAGTGAGGACAGCGACTCTTTAAAAAGTGATGTATTTATCATAAATTGTGAATACGACAGCTCCCAAAACATTTAGATCGCCCCCTGGTGTCTGGATACAGTAAAGGTTATAAACCTCATCCATGTTAACAGATGGGACATGGACCAAACTAAAGAAGTAGATGTTAAATAAATGTTTAAAGATGTTTCTGTGATTTCAGATCGTTCTTCTCTCTCTAATGTTTGTTCAAGTGTTTCTGATCAGTTTGGTTTAATTAGTTATTGATGATATATTTTAGCTTAATTTGTGTGTGTGTTTGTGTGTGTGTGTGTGTGTGTGTG